TCCTGCTCCAATGTGCAGACTAAAGGAGGCTGCCTGAGGATTGTAGAAGGGGTAGCTAGCTAGGAGTCAGGTGGCCATGCAGGGAGACAGTGATAGGGGTGGGAGGTGCTATTGTCAGGAAGAACCCTGGATGAGGTACTGCCTAAGGAAGGAGATCTCAGCATGGCAGACGCTCATCCTCCTCCCCAGGGATGTCTGATGTCCCTCTCCAAGGTCTGAACTGACCAATCCCCTTAGAACTATGGTGTCTCCAGACCACTGGGCCTTTAAGCAGCTCATACTGCTTACCCCATAGGCAGGGTCCCCGTGATCCAGAGTCAGCTAGGCCTCAGAGCCTCATCTCCCAGCCCAGATTCCTCTGTCAGGAGGCTCCTGAATTAGTGAGCCCATGAGGCTCACTCACTCTGCAACATCTTTCCCCCTGGGTATCTCTGGACAATGCTATGTCTTCTTCCTCAGGCTGGCTAAGCCTCTCTTCTCAAACTGCATTCCCTATAGGACAGGCTTTGGCCTCTTCTTGCAGACTGGGGACACCAATCCCTACCCCAACACCAGGACAAGGCTTTCTTCCCCCTCAGACTGGGTACCCCAAGGACAGGGCTGAGCCTCCCCTCAGATAGGGTGCCCCCAAGGACAGAGCTATGTCACCTCCTTTGGCTTCTTACCATCTTCCCTTTTCAATAGTTCGCAACCTTCCCAATGCTGTGGCCCTTTAATACAGTTCCTGTGGGTCGCAACCCACAGATTGAGAACTGCTGCTTTAGATGGACCCCACCCCGATAGAACTATTCCTCCCTTTGGACAAACAGCCCCCTGGCCATGCTAGTACTCTCTCTCAGGTTTGGTGTCAAGGCTAGGTCTCCCATATCTAACTGGACACCTCCCAGATGAGGACTGGCCCTCTCGCATCAGGATATTTGTGCTCAGGACAGGGCCAGGCCTCCCCCTTTAGGCTTGGCACCATTTGCCCCTCACACTGATGTCCAGCAAAGGACTGGACCACTCCCATCAGTCCAATTCCCGTAGGCTAGGATCCGGTCTCCGCCCTGAGACCAGGAGCCCCTAGGCCAGGGCTGGCCTCCACTCAGAGGCCCCTGAGCCCCACCTGGGCCATCCAGGTGTTGGCAGAGGAAGCGGGAGCCCTCAGCAGGCCTGGCAGGATGTCAGGACCCTATTTGCCTTGAGCAGGGGCTGGAGCCAGGTGGTCACTTCTCCCTTTAAGGCCCCACAGCCCATCCAAGCCACAAGGAACACGTAAACAGCAGCAGAGCTGGGTTGTAAGCAGGCAGGGAGGAGGGCGCTGAGACTCCCCCTTCTCAGTCTCCTTGGCTGCAGTATCTAGGCATTTCACAGGCTGCCCTGGACTCCAAGTTAGGCCAGTAAGGTGGCCAGGTCCATTTCCCACCTGTCTTGGGCATGTGGACAGGCCCTGCCCCTCCCTGGCCTGTCTCCCTTAGTCCAGGCTTAGAAAAAGACCTCTGAAGACTCTTAGAAGAAACGTATCCTCCTGGGGGTGGGAGGTGGGGGCCGTCCAGCCCTGACACACAGGCCTGACGCCAAGAGAGGGGCAGAGTGAGTCCACAGCCTCCAGCTCAGAGTGGGATCTAGGGGATCAATGTGTACCCTTCTGCAAGCCTGCAGTCAAGAGCAAGGACTGACCTAGGCCCTAAGCGTGTGGAGTCGACGTGCTGCTCACCAGAGTGAGAGCAGGCAGGTGGGAAAAGGGGCCTAGTTCTCTGGAGGCACAAGAAGGACATGACCCTGCCCCAGGGTCTGAGAGAACACAGTCTTGCTCTAAGGGCAGTAAGGGAGACAAAGGCCTGCCCTCAGGGTCCGAGGGAATATGGACCTGCCTTAGGGATCTGAGAGGGCACTGGTTCTGTTCTGGTTGTTAGAAGAGAGATATGGCTGTGGGGACCCGTTTGGGGCTTGCTATGCAGTTCCCAGTCTCTGATGGCCTCAGCCAACTCCAGGAGCATGATCCCAGCCACCACGGCCAACTGAAACACTCTGTGCCTGAGGGACTGGTCCACTGGCCAGCATGAGCAAAGGAGGGAAGGACTGCAGAGCCAGGCAGGGCCTGTGTGACTCTGAGCAAGCCACCTTCCCTCTCTGAGCCTCAGCTTCTCCTTGGAGGTCAGGCCCTTACTCAAATTTCGTGACCTGAGTAGGCACATAACCTACTCGCTCCCCAACAGGCTCCCAGGCTAGGTTCCGGCTGCCTGGACAGGGACCCAATCTTTCCCCTAGCAGGACTGAGCTACTCAGGATCCAAGGCGAAGGCATTCCCATGTGACAGGTTCCCTCCTTCCTCAGCATCGTGGACATGCAGGCTGAAGGCCAAGGGGTGGTGAGTGTGGATTCTGTGCAGATCCTGTGCATCCCAGGGCTGGAGGTCAGCTACCTTGAATATGACTGCAGGAAAGGAGCCACGGTCTAGGGGAGGCAGAAGACCAAGATTCTAGGCTTATGATGATCTTTTCTGGCCTTAGCCTCCCATCTGTGGGTGAAGAGAGGGTAGCTGGGGCCTCTTTGTGTTCCTGTGTTTATTAAGCACCTTCTGGCTCCTGCCCTTTCACCCTTGGTTTTTTTGTTTGTTTTTTTGGAAACAGGGTCTTGCTCTGTTGCCGTGGCTAAAGTACACTGACAAAAATCATGGCTAACTGCAGCCTCAAACTCCTAGGCCCAAGCAATCCTCCTGCCTCAGACTCTGAAGTGGTCAGGACTACGGGTGTGTGTCACCATGCCTGGCTAATTTTTTTTTTTTTTCTATTTTTGTAGAGACAGAGTCTTGCTATGTTGCCCAGACTCAACTTGAACTCCTGGCCTCAAATGATGTGATCTTCCCACCTCAGCCTTACAAGGTGCTTGGATTTACAGGTAGGAGCCATACACCCAGCCTTAGTGTTTTTCTTTGTGGGGAGGGGTAATAGGTACTTCCCAAAGTCTTCCCAATTGTGAGGCCAGGAGCAATGGCTCATACCTGTAATCCTAGCACTCTGGGAGGCTTAGGCGGGTGGATCACCTGAGCTCAGGAGTTCCAAACCAGCCAGAGCAAGAAAAAGATCCCATCTCTAAAAATAGCTGGGCATTGTGACAGGTGCCTGTAGTCCCAGCTACTTGGGAGGCTAAGGCAAGAGAATTACTTGAGCCCAGGAGTTTGAGGTTGCTATGAGCTATGATGGCAGGCCACAGCACTCTACCGGGAGTAAGAAAGTGAGACTCTGTCTCAAAAAAAAAAAAAAAAAAATCTTCCCAATTGAAAGGCCCAGTAGTTTTTAGGCAGCTCTTCCATCATGATGAGAACTCCTGTGAGGGATCGCAGATGGCTCTGGTGGTGAGCTCTGCAGGTAGGTAGTCCCATGAGGATCCTGCTAGCTTTGCTCCTTTCTCACT